CGGAGACGTAACAATATTTTTCAAACTGTGTTATAAATGTAATTATCTAAAAAGTCATTCTCCTCTATCTTAGTTTGGTTGTGAGTGGCGATACTTGAAAAGCGTTGACAGTGCCCCTTCTACTAGATATGGGTCAGGTTTATACCATTAAAATTAGCCCGTAAATCAACCATGAAACACTAAGGGATAAAATGTACCTAACAACAGCACGGTTTTTACCTGAACGAAACGTCTTCATTGTGTGCTCCATTCCCATATTATATAGACATTTTTTTGTTATTTTAATTTTTCTGGATTCTTCTTCGAATCTGACTCAGATTTGAGGACTTGTTGAAAATGTAGTCCTTTGTTATCACACCTTATTGTTAGTACAACCGTACGTATTACTCGGGCCTGATCTAGAGTTTGCAGAACCTAGGCATATTTGGCGTGCAGAGCACCCGTGCCCCTTATGTAGTTGATTCTGGCCATGTAAGTTGCTAAGCGCTTTATTTTGCAACGCTGAATGTAACTATATGTGACTAGCGCTTGAATGAAAACTGACAATCAATCCAATTCCTAAAAAATATTTTCAAACATTCTTTATACATTTTATTTATTTTCAAAAATTATTTATGCAACTCATATATTGGCACTTTAAAATGAATGGAAAATATATCATCGCATATGTTAATAAATGAAATATCTCTACATTTTTAATCCAGCTCACATAAACTGGCCCAGCATGGCTAGGTGGTTAGGGAGTTCGACTCGAAAATCTGTCTGTGGGTCACGGGTTCGAATCCCCGTCCCACCAAACATGCTCGCCCTTTCAACCGCGGAAGAATTAAAATGTGACGATCAATCCCACTATTCGTTGGTAAAAGAGTAGCCCAAGAGTTGGCGGTGGGTGTGATAACTAGCTGCTTTCCATCTAGTCTTACATTGCTAAATTAGGGACGACGAGCACAGATAGCCCTATTGCAGCTTTGCGCGAAATTCAAAACAAATCACATAAAATCTATTTACATTATATATATTTTGTAGCAATGCTTGTCTACTCTTCTGCGCACTAAAGTCCACGATCAGAACATAAAGTTTGATACATCATTTTCTATAGATAACATTGCCAGCGATTCTAATCTTTCTTGAAACATGGTAGAACGGATATAAGTTCTGATAAGCTTGAGGCGAAAAAAACTTTCTGCCGAAGCAACGGTAATTGGAATAGACAAGACTTTGTGAAGTGCTTTGTATATATTTGGATAGATCTCACGTAAGTCGTTTCCTGTGACAGATTTCAAGGCACAATTCATATTGGTATTAGGTGGTATGATCCCCCCCAAAAAAACTTAAGTCATTTCTATACATCTAATTCATTGATGTAGCACGAACCCTCGATGCTGAGTTTAATCATAAGATACTTGTAATGCCACGAAAGCTCTTCTTCAGTAATGGTGTTAAGATATATCATATAAAAATCCAAAAAAATTCCGTATATTTTTTGAGAGCCTCACTTTCATAATTAAACATCTTTTTCTTTATTCGCTGGCGTCCTTTTCTGAATTTTTTTTCAATATCTAAAGTTTTCGTCAGATCGTTGGCAGTTCAAAGTGCCGACTCGAAACCTGTTGATCTATATTCACCAATCCAGTTTAAGAACTCTTTCATGTGTTTTACAGTGCTATCCAAATCAATGTTATTACTCTGCCATAATGTACTGATAGTACTTACATTCACTGAAAGATCATACCATATAACAAAAGATACTAAAAAATCATATGATAGGATCGTATGCACTACGAAGTTTGGGATCGCTCTTATAATTAGCCGATAGTTTCAGTAAAACATCGCAGATCTCTTTGAGTTGAAACCGAACAACTTTCACATTATCTATATGGCTCTCTTATCTAGTTTCTGAAAGTAGTTTTAGGGTAATATTTATATTTTCTTTTAATACATGCCATCTGTTTGAAGACGCTTAAAATATAGTGTAAAGCTTTTCAAATTAACCAAAAAATGTTTCAGCCCTTGTAGAAGATGAAGCAGCATATCCTAAGGTCAAATTCAAAATCTGAAAACCACGTGGACAGAAAGAACCTCGTGGATTGGTTTGAAGCATTCTTGCTATTACACCATTATTTTCACCACGCATATTTGCACCATTATCATAGCCTTGTCCAGGACAATGCTGAACGTTTAAGCCAAGGACTTCTTCCGCCAGAATGGTTTTAGATAGACCTGTTCTTGTTGTTTCTAATACTGATCATTTCCCCAGTATTACATTTAGCATGGCGCAATATCATTGTCATTTGTTCAATATGACTCGCATATCTTGTACAATTCAAAGTAAATGCGTAATATTTCGCCTTCTTCACCTTCTTTGATATTTCACCTTTTTAGCCATTAAATCAA